GAATTAGTTATTTTGTAAGATTAACCCCTTGCTATGATTAGCGAAGGTTCCAATCTCTCACTAGCCACTACACTCATATGATCGCCTTGCTCCATGTGAGATGCCCATAGAAAATATAGCAAATCTGTTATCGACATTACTTAGACATGCGCATGAGTGAAATATGATAAGCATTTAGGATTGAACTAACGGCTGTTATTGGGGAAGGGGGTGGGGGTATTTATGATTAACACTCCAGCTGCTATAGCAGTGCCAAGGTCTGATTGATGGACCAACTGGGCACTCAGGCGATGATGAAACCATCAACCAATTCAGTGGAGTTCGCTTCAAGGGTCGACTGAGTATTATCATGTGCAGTGGTAAGAAATACTCGGGGATCCTGTGGAAGAGCTAGCTGGTCACAGAAAATGCTATAGTGACATTGTCAATGTCATAGTTTAGTGCGTTTAGTGCTTTAATACCTTGATCCGTCATGTTGTCCAGAGGAATTTCACGCGAAATGGCGCTTGCAAATACTTGGAACGAGATATATGTATCAATCATGTAGCAGTCATGTATACAGAGTCCCCCGGCCCTTTACTGCTTTGTCGTGGGTGCCAGTCCGCTGACCAAAAAGCCGAAAGACTCTGGGCTCGATATTTACGCGCACAATATTGGGTTATATTCTAAGTGCCGACAATACACATGAATAACTAATGAGATATGGATAGAGCTCGATAGTGCTCAGTGTTGACAAACCAGGGAACACGTGTTATCAGATTAAGCCAATAGTCTTATATGCCACGAAGCAGGCAGGTCCTTTCCTTCCATTCTCCAAGTAAAAAAGGGGATGAAAGGTCAGGCAGTCCCGCCCGTCCGTGTGCTTTCCTGGGGAATACCGTGCAATCTCTACCCATGTGGGCAGAGGTAGTATGGTTGACTTGTACAGATCAAGGGGGTGAAAATCAAACTATATCGGACTCGGGAAGAAAGTGGAACTGCAAAGATTGAACAAATAAGTAAAAAGTTATGAGCGCGAAGAGGTAAAATAGTTGTAATATAGCGAACATTATCATTGGTTGATAGATTTTTATATTTGGTGTTAACAAAAAGGAATAAGGACCATACTCAGCTTCCAGACATCGAGTGCTGAACCGTCGTATGGCAGTGCGAAGCATTTACGGCTACGCCAGAGATTTCGACCCCGACACCGCTATGCAGAGACTAATCAGGGAGCTTTGCCGAAGCCTAAAGGGAGAGGTTAGTCGGCCCCTAGACCATGTAAGATTAAACTCTTGCTATGCTTAGCGAAGGTTGCTATCTTTCACTAGCCACTACACTCATATGATCGCCTTGCTCCATGTGGGAGGCCCTTAGAAAGATTATTAACGAAAATCTATTACTTAGACATGCGCATGAGTATTATAAGATAAGCAAATGCAAACCAATGAATAGACCTATCCCGAATTCGCTTGACTGACCACGAAACAATGGTTTGAAGTTGAGACTGAACTTGATTATTTTGTTCATCAAGTTCAACCTCGACTTGAAACCATTGTTTCGTGGCTAGTCAAGGGGCGGATCCAGGATTTTTTCAAAGGGGGGGTTGTAGCATTGATTGAGGTACTTGTTTGACGGGAAAGTAGCACAGGGTTCCCAAACGGAAGTAGGTCTTATGGTAATGATTATTTGCTGCAGGCGAGCATAGTTGTTTCAGGTCCCACACACGGTGTATAGAAAAAAAAGCGAGCGAAATGTGTTCGGCACCCCTGTTTTAATAAAACTCGCAATGCTGTTGGTGTTGTCATGAAATAATGATAATAATAAAAAATCACGATGGCTTAATTTTTCTTTATTTAATTTAATTTTTAATCTATTTCTTTATATAGAAATATTAGGACCATACCTCCAAACATCGAGTGCTGAAGCGCAGTATGGCAGCGCGAAGCATTTACGGCTACGCCAGAGATTTCGACCCCGACACCGCTATCCAGTGACTAATCAGGAAGCTCGGCCGAAGCCTAAAGGGAGAGGTTAGTCGGCCCCTAGACCGTAGATGATTAACCCCTTGCTATGATTAGCGAAGATTGCTATCTTTCACTAGCCACTACACTAATATGATCGCCTTGCTCCATGTGGGAGGCCCTTGCGAAAATCTATTACTTAGACATGCGCATGAGTGTTATAAGATAACGACAAATGTAAGCCAATGAATTCTTGTGGTGCAACTAGATAACTCAAAATCCCTTGAGATATATATAAATAACAATGAAACAGCCGGCGTGTCAGTGGTTGATCTAACGCAAGAAAAGCTAATGAGGAGTGCTTAGTTATCGTTACCAACATGGCGGGTTTAACATTCAGCCCAACCCGCTGACCTGAAATAGTGACGTAGAAATGAAGTTAGGTTTCATCATAGTTAATAGAGGGGAATGGTTAGGGAACCTATTGTTATCAGGTCTTTGTTCGCTTGTGAAGTTGAACCGGTCTTGACCGTGCAATATGTTTGATTTATGCTCATCCGAAATTGCAAAATAAGTAAACATAAACTTTGTCTATGGGATTGTTGGGGAATATTCAAATATCTCTTAAAAATCTTTAAGTATTTTGAACAAGCTGCCAAAAGAAAGATTTTGGCCTGTTCACTCAATGTTCAACAATGGTCAAACAATGCTAAAACAAAGGATTGTGCACGGTCACGCTTGAAAACAAGTGAACAATAATAACCTATAACAATAGAATTTCCAAACCATTCCCCTCTATTAACTATGGTTTCATCAAACACTCCATTTGCATGCTACAGCAGTGCCAGGGTCTGATCGACCAAGGCTCGATACTCAGGCGAAATACACCGTCAACCAATTATACTCGGGCATCCTGTGGAAGACGGCTAGCTGGTCAAAGAAAATGCTACTGCGCGTGCGCGAATTACGTTATTTGTCGCTTCTCATGCCTTCCTCTGTCATACCTCTGTTATGATGTCCAGAGAAATGGGGGAGGGGAGGGTGCTGAGGGATTCGTCCATCCCCCTTTCACTCAATAAGAAATTCTAATTGAGTCAACAAACTGTAAAACAGCTTCCGTCAAAGTAAAAAGGTTTGACACAAAAGTTTATATTTTTACTGATGTTCCTGCCCTATGAAGCTCTAAATCGCAGATTTTTACCTCTTCTTAGATACGAAGAGCCGATAGTTTTACCTCTCTCCACAGCTTGACCTATAATGCCTTGCGTGCGTTGTTCAACAGGACATGATTGACCTCACGTCAAATCTCGTATTATTGGATGTGTTTGTGTCACAGCTTTCTAACTAATATGGCAATCCACCAATCCACAGTGGTATAGTTAGCTGTGAAGTTACTGGATAATTTTGTTGTCCCAATATATCTTGGCCATTGGCATCACATCGAGAGCACCCATATGTACGTATTCACGATCATATCCTTCATTATCTTGTTCAATCGTACAATGTTTAGTTTCAAAAGAAGCGGCGCCAACATAGAACAGCTCGAACAAAATATCCCGGAATAATTTTATAGTTTTGCTTCCATTATCAGAGAAAGCCATTCCCTTGATGAAACAATAATGATTTTGAAATATTCCTGATTTATAAAGTAGTGTCAGATGTTGTGGATGTAAGTTTATCTGCTAAACTGCAGCGATGTTTGTTGAAGACATTGTTAAACATTGACTGGTCATGTCGCTTCGAATTAAAATATGTCACTGATGTGTAAACTTATAGTTTGTCTTTGGATGCGATTTGAAATCCAAGCATTCCAGCTACGACCAGCAGTCTATGAAAGTTAGGCATTTATTCTTGAACTAAGACGATTTATCACGACAGAATAAGGAAATTATTGATGTTAGTGAAACCAATGGAAGTGTTTTAACACTGCGAGAACTAAGATTCTTGTAAGTATACTGCGTTACAGAAGAATTTAATGGTAGTATAGTTTAATGGTAGCTTCGTGACCCCGAAGGTATTACAAGATTTAGGATCAAACATTTCAAAGTTCATTTCATCAACAAAGTCTCGTTAAACAAAGCCGGATTATGAATAAAAATATATTTGTCGTAAAGGTTTTTTTGGTACGGCGTTAATCATTAAGTCAGTTAATATAATTAATCTTCCAAAATACTTTACATATTTTACGTTACATTATCTAGAATATTAACGTACACCTAGAGCCGTATCTTGATGTGGTATTTGTTTTGTTTTTTAGCACGGAATTCAAGTCTATAGATCTGACTAGCAGAACCTAGCAGGCTAGGGAGGATCATGTTTGCTTCTGGTTATACTGATGACTCTACACTGCCTTCAAGCACTTTAGATAGTGACACAGATAGCTCAACTCAATCCTTTTCATCTTCAAACGAGAGTCTGGACCAAAGCTTGATTTACTTTAATCAATCTTGGCCTTTATCGAGGGATAAGACTGCAAGTCTCGATCAACTCTCTTGTAAAGTTAACAGCTATTCATGGTGGAGTGACTTAAAGACAGTTAGCCGAAATGGCTCAAATGCCAGCACCCCCCGGACAAGACCAGATGCCAGCACCCCCCGGACGAGACCGGGTCAAACAGCAGCACGAGGGTGTAGTCCAGATGCCTCTGCACTGTACAGTAACCCTACCAAACACTATAACCCATCAGTATCTGGACAACATGCATGCCAGGAAATGTCTGTACGTATATGGGTATAATATAATACAGTTGACTCTCTCGTACTCGTAAGCGAGAATCTTGGAGTAAGAAGTGTTCACTAAAGGGAGATGGTCGTTTAAAGAGGGTTAGTTGTCTGTGCTTGAATGGTGTGGGGAAGGGGGCGGGGTGTGACATTTGTAAGCTGATTGACCAAAATGAAATATGAGTTTGATTGATGACCAAGTGACCGACCAACCGACTGATTGTCTGTCTGCTCGACTTATATCGACTCACTGATTGACCTACTGACCGATCACAACTGCAACATCAATCTACTGACGGACTGCCTGTCTGTCTATCCACGTCAATGACTGACTGCCGACTAACTTACACACCGACCGAATCACTGACAGACTATAAAATCACCCTGCTTCCTCTGGGCGACCTGACTAACAGATTGACCTAGTAACTAACTGACACACATATAGATTGAAAGAGTGACCGAATAGCTGACTCACTATTTGAATCAATTAAATGACCAACTTCGTAATTTAATCAGTACTTTGTCATATCTTGTTACTAAGGACTACCGTGAGTGGGCTAACACCTATCTTCAGTACTCTCCACACAACACACTCATTACTGACCTATCCAGGGACCTGGCTGATGGAGAAACACTGTTATACTTAGTACAAGTACTGCGTAAGTAATTCGTTAATCTACCTGTATAAGATAACCTAGTAATAACAACGCGAATGATGACGCGCGCTACCTCTCGGTGCTGATTGGTCGAAATGCCTTTGCAGAAAAGAGTATATATATAAAATTAATTATTTCGCTGTTGTATCACAGCGTGGGACAATCACAACAGAGCTAGGCTCCAAATTAAGTGAAAGTCCAAAGATCAAATTAGAATTTAATAGAAGTTGATTTTTGAGGAGGGAGGAAAACCAGAGAACCCAGAAAACCCTCGAAGCACAGGAGAGAACCAACAAACAACTCTACTCACATGCGATATTGAGATCGGCAGGACTCGAATTCGGGCTGCATTGATGAGAGGCGGCGCATTAGCAGCGCACGCCACCAGTGTTCCCCTTGATATTTTTGCTCTTGATATTTTATTTTTCGTGCGCTCTGAATTAATTTGGAGTGTTTGTTTACCTTTTACTGATTACCTCATTTTATTTCGCCTAATTCCTTTCCTTTCCTTTCCTTTCCTTTCCTTTCCTTTCCTATAAATCTAAATTAAGAGGGAACGATCAAATTGAAATACCATACATCCCCAAAACAGACTTTTTCAGGAGTAGCTTTTATTACAGAGGGGCTAAGATGTGGAACTCTCTCCCCTCTGAAATTAAATCTGCTCCAACAAAGAATGAATTTAAAAAACGTCTGATGAGATGGCGT